AACACCAAGTTTGACATCAACGCACAAAACAGGTTCTGAGATATCATCTCACTTCCTGTTTGACGGCTTTGATGCCGATTTCTTCTCAAACTGATACGCGCTCACTTCGGTTTTTGAAGAAAGAACCAAAAGAACTGGGTCCAGTGGAAAAGAAATGAAATAAGAAAACAAGATGATAACTTTTGGCTCTCGTTGCTAACAGAACTACCAAACAGAAGGTTCCCAACTGTGTGAAATAATTTGATACGAGCAGATCACGTCTTCTAAATGCTAAAATAAGAGCTTTAATGCTTCTTTTCTTATCTTCTTTAGTCCAGGATACACTAGACAGTCTTTTAGAGTGGGGGTAAGAGATGAAATTTGATAACTCACTGCAGCTGCATTATTTAAAGCAACACTTCTCTATTTTCACCCATTTTTCATGTAGAAAAATATGAGAACAGAAACAGTGAGCGCGAGCATCCACTGTTAAACTACCAACTAATATATTTCACTTTTAGTGCATCATTTTTTTAACCTAAAGATTACAACCAAGACAAACTATTTTATGCTTTTTCTACTGCATCTTTAAAGTTTGACCTGCAGAGCCTGAATAAATTCTCCTTCCAGTTTGTTTTATTGACCTTGTGACATTTTTATTTATTTATTTTCTTGGCCGAGATAAATCTGAAGGTTTTAGAGAGAGAGAGAGTGAAGGAAAAAAGTCTGTATGTCAGATACAAAGTTTGATTTTAAAGACCAAAGCTTTGCTAATTTGACCTCCTTTCCTGTTTGTGTGATGAGCTGCTGGTTTTGATTGGCTAAGACAAAAAAACAAAAAAAGAAGAAAACAACCTGAAATTCTTTTGTAACATCTGTTAGGGTAAGGTTTGTAATTTTCAATTTTGATAAACATGTGAAAAATGTGGCCTTTTGATATAAAACCCAATGTTCAGAGTCCGCATACTGTCTAACAATAATGTGAATTTCTGCTTTGAAAACTGAACATAGAAATCAAATTTAAAGAACCATCAGCTCTGACGATCTTTAGAAATGTTCAAGGACTTACTGAAGACTTCTAAGAAAAAGGCAGACAAACAATAAGTGTTCATGAGGCTGTTGTTCACCTTGCTTCCAATTATTAGTTCAGTTTGGAACAGCAAGGTATAATATTTGCAGTATATGATTTCTGCTTCATAAAACAAACATTTAGATTTTAAAAAAATCTAAACTTCAGTTGAAATCAGTCATAATTTCATTTACAAGGTCTGACCAAAACAGCCATAACTCCATCTCTTCTCAGCATAAGATCTTAGCTAACACTTCCTGATCTACACAACTGTTTTGGCTGACAGATTTAATTTGACATGCTTTGATTTATAGCACGAGTGTGGAGAAAAGCAAATGAACCTGCACACATCTTTAGCTGCAGCTGATTGTTTCAGTGTTGGGTGGTTTTGTGCCAAAAGTGTTAAACGAAGGAATGAGTTGGCTGCTAATCTGCTTAAGAACATCAATGTATTTTTAGATCCCAAATTTTTTTATTTCAGTTTGCCAAATAAACAATTGTGCTCTCCTAAAGGTTTTGTTCTCTACTTTTCAATAAGGGAACATGTAGATTTGTCTTTGAAGACATCCTGCAGTAGACTTTTCTTACACGACGCAGCAGCCTCGCAGTCAATCAGTCCATTTTGTCGGGTCCCCGTGGCTCTTCGCCGTTCAAGCAGACCGCTATCACAACCGTCCCTGAGCTGTCCTTAATGAGTTTCTCCATTATCACTGACATCATCGCAACGGCATTACTTCTGTATTTAATTGATTCTGAGGGGGAGAAGTTATTAAACAGAGCCTTGTTTTAAAGCTAATAGGAGCCGGGAGCGTTTAGGCGTCAGAGAACAAGTTGAAATCCTGAGCGTCTCTCTGCTAGCGATGTCGTGACTTTGACGAGAAGTCATAGTCGAACGCCTGAGACCAATATCACGTGATCGTTATTTACAAGGTTCAACCAAAACGGCTACATTCTTTTACTACATGTTAGGTCCTTTCATTATATAATGCCAACTTGTGTCTTAGATTTCATTTTATTGTAAGTTTGTTTTTTAATGTTTTTGTAAGCGGTGCACCTTTGGGCCAAATGAGAGCCGTTTTCAGGAATGTCTCCAAGTTGTATTAGAGTCGGAGACAAACGAAAAGCCACACACTGTGCAATAACTACCCGGTAACTTAATAAGAACCCAGGAAAATGTACACGGAAGCTCAGTCAGCATCCATTTTTGGTTGGTGACTGTATGCGATCATTTTTAGCTCATAAAGGGAAGTATTCTTTGTACATAAGTGATCTTTTTTTAGTACATCGACAGAAACGCCTAATGCCCACAGAGTGGTAAAAATACTCCATCTTCATGTGTGCTGTAAAATCATTGTCCCGTGATGTTGGCTTTGTTTTCCTTCAGACTGGAAATCAATCCTCAGTTTGTTTGAGTTTCTCGCTGATGCCTCCCTTGTGCAACTTCTTCCACATGGGGAACAGATCAGCACATCTTCTGTAGCACAGCACCTCCACTTGACCTCCTGTGCCTTTTTGTGTTTGGCCACAAAAATACACGACTTGCACCTTTTAACCCGAGTTCACAGTAATATCAGCTTAAATATCCTTGGGGTCTCCTCCTGCATCGCCGAGCTGATGAATCGAAGCTGGTTCTGTGCCCCGGCACCGTGATGCAGCAGGGGGTTTTTGCTGTAATTGCACCATTTTCTTACGCAGCAGTGTCCGACCTGACGAAAAATGTAAACAGACAGGCAGGTTATGTAAGCGAGCGTTGGGTGTCAGAGACGGTTAGTGATTGGACTAAAAACAACCACACTCGGAGTGTGACCTCACCCAGGACAACAAACTTCAGTTTCAAGCCAGCGAGCAAATTGCTGCTTAAATGTTTGTGTTTTGCAGGTCGTGTGTTTTCAGTTTGTTTGTGTGCAGTGTGCAGCTATCAGACACTTCTTTTAGGATTTTACCTGAATTTGTGTGCTTGCGAGTGCTCGTTTGTCTGTTGGCAAACGATCTCATGCACCACTGTATGGGTTTTAGTGAAACTGAATATACATTTACAGTATTTTTTGGATTATAAGGCGCATTAAGCGAAACAAAACAGTCAGATAAGTCAAACTTTATTCAACTCATTCACAATAACTCTCAACATTGTTCAGTACCGCATAAAATCGGTTCGAGGTCAGTAAGCACAATTAGAATTAATACATAAGGCGCACCGGATTATAAGGCTCGCTGTTGATTTTTTGAGAAAATTAAAGGATTTTAAGTGTGTCTTATCGTCTGAAAAATACGGTACAACTGATTAACTTTTGGGATCAAGCCAATTTAAGATGGCTGCCACAGCTAACTGACATTAGCCAATAGGAAAATGACTATAATGTGGTCAGTTTTACAGATGTTGAGATAAAATTTGGAGGTGATGACTGATTGGTGTGAAATTTCACAACGTTGCATGTCATGCTCTGTCATGAAAAATGGTGGGTGATATGCATTCCTTTAATTGGGCTACAGATACTTTGGCATATTGTGCTTGTGTGTCTCGCCCCTTTTAAAGTAAACACAAGTAAACAATTAAACAGTCAGATTTATGAGGATTGGCGAGCTTTAATGAGGTAATCAACTAAATAAAGGCGGCTGAGCGAGCAGCGAAGTGAGAACCCAGAGGAGGGAGGAACACACCCACAGCTTTCTAAGTGGAGATTACAATGTTGAAAACTTGTTTTTACAGCGCCAAAGAGATGACAAATACACAACCAATGTCCTTGGAATTTTCCCCACACTGTTTTTTTCCACAGTTGCGATAATAGCAACACAAAGCGATAGCATTTTAGCCTTTTTATGACTCCCAAGTCTTCATTCAGCTCTGGTGTTGTTGTAACATTTTTACTTGATGAGAATTTGCTCTGACCAAACTAATCACAGGGCTGTTTTGGCACAGAGCAACCTTGGATGAGATATAAACCGTCACTGCAGATGGAGAGAGAAAATGTTGACACGGAGAAATACGTGACTAAACTTAGATTATTTGAAGTTTGTCCTTTTTTTTTTTCCTCCGTTTCTCTCCTTGGAGCTTATCTCCGTCGGTGTTGTTGCATTCACTCGAGGCACTCTGCCAAGAAGTTACATTACAATCACTGGTTGACATAAACGTGGGTGTTCAAAAGGACTTGGAAGGTCTAAATACTTTATTGTATGTGTAATGTGAACTGAGCAATTATGTCTGCCAGCCTTTCAAACAAAAGAGCTCCTATCGGGCAGGTTCATGTGTTTTTAATTAGCTGAGGTTTTTTTTACGTTTTTATTTTTAGTTTATTTTTGTGGAACTATTCACAAAGAACCAAACGTAGAGCCAAGATGACCGTGAAGTGCTGGTTAGTTAGACTAATGTTTTATGATGTGATGATGAGAAAAATGACAAAATACAGCTTTGTCATGTTTTATATGTTGTGGAGTTTTTCTGTTCTGGATATTTGGTGTTGGTTAACCAGTCTGTCATTGTCATTATTTTACTGCCCGCTTGACTGTTTTTTATGCCCTAAAAACTGTTGAAATGTAAATGTAGTTTTTCAGCTCAAAGGAAACTTGAGGATAATGTTTACTAGCACATTGGAACAATTTGGCAGCCTCTTACCCTATTCAGCACAATGCTGCACTAATCCAGTTTAAAAATAATTAGCTGCAGACTAGCAAGCCTGTGAAATTCCTTTTCCAGGTCGTAAATGTTCCTGTCATTGCCTCGCTTCTCCTCAGCTAAAAATGTCAACATTCCTTTAGTGGAAACTCATTTCTGCCTGTAAATGTTTGTTGTGTTTTTATTCTTCCTGCATAATAGAGTTTATTCAGTGAAATAACAGTGGTGGTTTTGCTAAATGTGGTGAGAATCACACAGTTCTGTGCGAGTTGTTTAGGATATATTTATGGGAATTGATTTGCAGCATAAATGGATTATTAATCCTGTTCACTTTTTCTTCAGCTCCCAACCTGAAGGGGCGACCTCGAAAGAAGAAGCTTTCCATCTCTCAGAGGAGGGACTCCCAGGGTCAGGCTCCCAGTCAAGGCTCCTCAGGGTCAACAGCTGTAGCAGCTCAGGACCCCTCAAGTCCAGAGAGCAAAACGACAACCAAGGTGAGATCAAAGAAGAGGGTTAGAATAACGTTCAACAAACTTTACTGATTGCTCAATCTGACAGGGCGAAAGGAAGAGGATGAATTAAAGGTACTGCGATATCGTGGACAGGTAAAAAGTAGTATAAAGCAAAAAGCAAAGCACTCAGATTTGCAAGGTAAAGTGTGCAGATAAAATTAATTTGTTTACATTAAGTGCATACCCGCATTTCAGAATCACATTTTAATGTAACTTGTAAACTACTGGAGTAAACATGTTGGCACCATTTGATATTGTTAAGAACAACCTTTTTTTATGTTTCATTTCAAATTTAGCAATGAGTTGAACAAACAGGAGCCAAAGAATAAAAGTTTATCATCATGCATTTGACCTCGTAGGCAGCACAGTTGTTGACAATACGAGAAGCATTACGCAGTGATGTCTGCTCTCATTTGCAATAAATGCTTAACTTGTGTTGCTAACTGGCTGCTTTTCAGGTCATCGGTTTTTTTATTTTTTTTTATCTTCAGCTTGAGAACGAGGATACGGCGCTTCAGCTTTCCAAACAATCTGCTGTGACCTACACAGCCGCCGTGTAGCAATCAGAAAACAGGAATGTGACTCTTAAGGCCACCTGTTCCACAAAGACATGACGTAATCTGACAGATGAGTTATTACCAGGAGGCGTTTGGTATTTTTTACTTTTGAAATGATTGATGGGTGATTATTAAAAAAAATTGCTTTCCACTGCTCAGGTGACCTCATCTCTAAATCAATTTAAAGACAATAGTTTTTGTTTTAATCTGACTTGCTGACTGATCAGCATCTGTTCCAGAGCAAACACGGTTTTATTTTCTTGTTTTTGTATTTCCTTCCCTCAAAACACAGAAACAGCCTTTAAAATGAGCACGGCTCGATCCCACAGAAGAACAAGATGTTTATCTAATTTCTCTAAAGTTTCCATTAAAATGAAGCAGCACTGTAAATACAGATAAATCACTAAACAGGCTGTTCATTTCAGAAGGAAACTAAACAGTAATTTGAGCTGGAAACGATAAAAAAAACTAGCATTCCTTGAAGAAATGTATATTTTTCGCCGTATTTCATGTTAAAGTTTTCGCCCAGGATAATCTAAAGCTAAAAGTCATTTTTGTCAAACCTCATAAATAACATTGTGCACAATTTAACCACATATTTTGAGATCTCACACTTAGGCATGTTGCAATAAACAATAAATCGATTAATCTCATGATAAATGAAAATTATCAACCTCATTTTCATTTATCGGCTTTATCGTTTTGTTTTTTGTGTCTCTCTTTCTACTGAAGACACTGGATGACAAAAGGCTCAACTCTGGTGCTCTTCACTGACCCCTTCCTTTCTCTTTTCTCTTTAAAAACTGTTTTAACCGTCCAAAATTGCGTTTTCGGATCGTTAAAAGCAGCTAAGCTGAGAAGCTAAGCTACATACTAAGCTAACAGGCTGACCTCAGGGGAAAAAACCTTTGTATTGTCAAAGCTACAATATTCACAGTTGAAACTCGTGTCTTTGTGTAAAAAGTTGTTTTTCTCTGCTAAAAGAAGCTGAGAACTTTTTTCCTGATTTTTTTTTATTAAAAGCTTTGTGTGAAAAATGCTATGCTGAAGAGCTTAAACCACACCGAGCGCCTGCCATTTTGAGAACCGAAAAAAGAAAGAGAGACAGCCCATGTCACGTCAAGAGGCCTCCCTCCTATTTTTCTTAGAGACACGCTGCTCACTCCCTCACTATCCATCCTTCGGTTCAAACAGTCTTACACTGCCATGCAGTGGTTGAAAAAAGGTACTACACTCAAAACAAATTAACCAACATTTCTTCTTAAATTTGACAATATTTACTAATGTCAAATTTCAAACACTGTTATTGTTTATCAAAATTTGTTGTTGTGACAGACCTACTCACACTCATTGTGTGCATTGTGAAAGACTCTCAGCTACTACCACATCAAATCTTTGCTCAATATCTGTAAAATTATTAATTAAAGCCTTGTTTCTGTTTTTCAAGGTCAGTCAGTTGTGACTGTGGCATCCATTTTAAATTGAGGTGCCTCCAAAAGGTTATCAGTTGTGGATGTACATCCAATGATTACTTTATACAAGTTTCATTTTGATTTGTGTAGTGATTCATGAGATATCTTCCTGACAGACAAACAGAATAGACTATACATAGTTAATGACAAATTTATAAACAAAGTTCTTGCACAATCTGTTAGTGCTTAAACTATGTTTGAGATGAATCTCAACTACTGTGACACCAAATTTTAGGTCAATATCTGTAAATTTGACTGAGGAATGTACATTATTGTTTTTAAGATCGATTGGCTGTGGCAACCATCTTATATCAAGTTGCCTCCAAAAGTTAATCAATCATAGATCCTTTCTGCAAGTTTCATTAAAAAAGTGCAATGTTTCATGTGATACTTTGCTTTTTTTTAATTTTTTTAATTTTATTTTTTTATAGATACTTTGCTAATAGACACACATGCAGACAAAGGCAGTCATTATTGCCCACCTTCAGTTTTAATCAGGTTTTGTTTTAGAATTTTTACAGTTTAAGAAACTACTCGAGATTAAAAATGTATTTTTCAAATCTATTTTGGATAGCTGATTAAAATAGTGATCTGTTTTTTATACAACCTGTGTTATTGTCTTATACTGTTTATAACATTGAAAAAGAAAATGCTCTTTTTCTCTGACCTTCCACAGTTAAATCGATATTTGCTGTTTTTTCCTCAAAGCGCGAGTTAAACTTAACGTCGCTTAATGTGTGACAACAAGAGCTGCTCCATCGATAATCAATAGGCGAGGCCTCCTCAGCAGCCACTAAGAATATTTGTTTGCCCTTAAATCCAAATGCATCTCATTCAGCTGTCTGACCTCATTTAAATGTGAAAACGCTTCCTCTGAACGCGTCTGCTCACATCGTTTTCGGTGTCTCCACAGGTTAAGCCCGGCTATAAAGCAGTACCTAATGGAAAACTAGCCACGTCAGCTAAACAAAAGCCCGCCGGCCTTGGGAAGAAATCCTCGACCGAGGAGAGGGAACGAGAGAAGGAGAAGGAGGAGAAGAACGATGAGGAAACATCAGAGGAGAGCCGAGCGGAGGAGCAGTCTTTCTTAGTCGCTCTCTACAAGTACATGAAAGAGCGAGACACGCCCATAGAGAGGATCCCCTTCCTCGGCTTCAAACAGAGTGAGTAGCACAACTTATTCTCCGATTCCCTTTCTGGCAGCGTTTAAACAAAGAAGTACTCCACCGTAGAAGTTGTAGTAAAGTTTGAGTGTGTATCTTCTTCTGCTGGGTTTATTTAGTATATTTAGGTCATAACATTGCCAGTGGGGAAGGTTATGAGCTGAGAGATTAAAAACAGTCAGGCACTTGTAAGAAATAAGCATAAATGTACTATAACTTTGTCAGAAAAACACATTGTACAACACACACAGAAAACTTGTAACTTGGAAAGAAATTAACAAAATAATATGTTTCTAATTAAAGTTTAAATATGAGAGTAACGCTGCACAAGATGGTGAACAGATGAAGAAAACCTCTGGGTGGATTTTAATCACTACATGTCAACTATTTAAATTAAAGGACTAGCATTTCTTGAAGGAATGCATATCGCCCGCCAAGTTTCATGTCAGCGTTTTAGACTAAAATCATCTTAAGTTGAGAAATGACAAAGCTTTAGCTGTTTATGCACAGCAAACTCATGAGTTGAGGAGGAAGCTGCCAGTTACTGCACATTTATAGCAAAAGTGTCTGTCACAAAAAATGCATGGCTGTAAAGGAATCTGTGGCGATAACAAAATGAAAGATATAAAGTATTAAGTGGAAAAGCAGCTAGTTATATATAAAAAATAAAACTCAGGAGGCTTTCCATCAGAGTGCATTTTAGTTAGCTTTCATGTCGGGGAGACTGTCTTCTCACACTTGTCAGAAGGTTTTCCTGCGAAGGCCAAGAACGCCCTTTAACAGTGTTGAAGAACATCACATGCATGGGAAACACGTCTGCCTGAGATGAAAGATCTCTAATATAGGTCGGATGCTTAGCTCGCACTGGAGGTGCACGAGGCAGAGTGGAGGAGCATGCACATAAACATCATAAAAAGCTCTCTCTGGTAACTGGGAAAAAAACCCTGTTTGTTTAAAGAGTTTGATCTTGAGAAAAAGACACGACTCATCTTAGAGTTTCACATTTCAGCAGGAACTCAAGGTGATGTAAAGGAGAAAGATGTAGCCATTTAAATCAGAATTTAACATCAGTAAATGAAAGGCTAGCAGTTATTCGAAGGAACGTAAATCATAAGTTTTGACTAATATCGTCTTGTTCTTGTTTTGATCAAACCTTGAAATTGTGTGATGCTTGTGCTTTTAGAACTGAAGGCAGCATTTGATACAGTGATTCCAAAATTTTAATCACTCATTTAGGACACTAGCTGTGTATTAGGAGTGTGGCACTAAAGTGGTTCAGGTCCTATCCGGCATGTCATATGTTCTCTGTCAGCCTCTGTTATTTTAGATCTTCTTTTACCCCTTTTGTAAAGGGAGTTCCTCAGGGTTCAATCTTGGTGTCTCTTATTTTCCTTCTGTTTGCTCCCTTTTGGTTCCATTTTCAGGAAGCATAGTATCCCTTTCCACATCTATGCTGATGACAGCCAGATTTATCTGCCTCTAAATTAAAAGGATACCCTATCTGCCACACTCTTGTTTCACAGCCTTTATGAGATTTAGGCTCGGTTGTCTCTAAATTTTTATTTAATTTAATGAGAAGAAAACAAGCAATGGTTTTTGGCAATGCTACAGCTTCTGCCTCTTTGCATCTTGTCCCCTCGCCCAGTACATCAAGTCATCCAGTACATTTGATTTTTCCCTTTTAATCTTTATTTCTAGTGTTGTTTAATTTTTTTGTACATTTGTTTTATTGCATTGTACTGTACAGCACTTTGTCCCAGTGAGGAGTTTTAAAGGGTTTTATAAAGTTGAGATGAGTTTAAATTCATGTAATTTGCAATCTCATGGAATCTCATAACCGCAAGATGTCATGCTCAAGAGATGGGTTATGTGTGACTCTCAGCTTCTACCACATCCAATTTTAGCTTAATATCTGTTAAACTGACTGAGTTATAACATATTTTGGGTTTGCAAAAGTTGATAGCTGTGGCGACCATTTTCAATTGGATTGTTTCCAAAAGTTAATCAGAGGTACCAGTATATTTAGTGATTGTTTCCTGAAAGTGTCATTAAAATCCATCCATTGATCCATGAGATATTTTGCTAACACACCAACAGAGTTGTCTCATTAATGGCCATGCATTAAACATAGATATTGTGCAATCTGTCATTGCTCATGTGTTGGAGATCAGTTTCAGCTGCTACCAGACAAAATGTTTGTCTATTAGCTGTGAAATGGACAGCACAGCAGTATAGCCATTTTTGTGTTTTTTAATACCAGTTGGTTGCAGCAGCCATCTTTAATAATGTTACTCCAAACATTGATCAGATGTAGACATCCATCCAATGATGATTTTCTGAAAGTTTAATAAAAATCAACCCAGTGGTTATTGCAATATTTTGCTAGCAGACAGACACACTCACACAGGCAAAAACATTATCGTCCACTTTCACCTTTCGGCTGCAGGCAATAAATAACCTGAGGCAGGAGAGGGAGGGAGTATTGACAGTTTGTAGCTCTGTAAAACTCATTACTCTAAACTATTACATGAAGGTAAGCTGTGGTCTCCTTGACTCTGCTAACACCACCACGGTATTTTGACAGTCCTGTCATCCTGGCTGCCAACATGTTGTAGCTTAAATAGGTCTTGTGGTTACTGGAGATACAGAGCTGGGGGGAGAAGGAGAGAGAAAGATGAATTACATACCCAGCACTCCTTACTTATTGTTGGCATTTCTCCGTTTGAGCTCCGAATAAAGTCGAGGTTCACGTTCCAACTGTTTTACATACAGTGCATGCTTTGAATCTCAGAACCAGACACATCATAAGCAAACGCCCTCATTAAATGTTAAAATCATGCTGTTTTAACTTCGTCCTTGGCAGCGAGTGCACATGTAAAGAGGAAGGGGGAAAAGGGAAAACGCATCACAATTAACACAAACCCTCAGATGGAATCAGCTGCCATTTTTCATTTTTTCTCCCTTTAAGCTCACTACAAATGTGTTCAGAGATCAAAGGATCTGCTTTCATGTAATGGAAACTGAATTTATGCTATTTTTGTGGCTGAGTATGAATCTTTTATAAAGTTTTCTTGGAGTTTAACAACGCAACAGATGCTTAAATGATTTTCCAGACTTGTCCATCTGATTTACTTAAAAAAAAAGCTTGATTTGAGTTTAAATGTGAGCTATGTTTGTATTTCTTTAAATCCCAGCAGACTGATAGAAATCACTGCAGTTCTTAGTTGTTTGTGGAACGTTTCATAGCTTTTTGTAAATGTGTGACTGATGATTTAGCATTCACACGATTGTTTTCCAGATTTTATTTATGTATGGTTATTTTTTGCAATCTAATTATTCATTCACTGTGCTATTTTAGTCCTTCATGTATCAAAGTGTTCCGTTTATTCAAGCTATAAGTGGGACAGTTTTTGTTTTTTGTAACTTTTATACTCTTTAAAGTATTTAGCTTTATTTAAAAATATTTTCCTCGTAGAAATACGTTGAGATCTTTTCAGTTCCCTAAAAACATTGGTCTCTTTGAAACCTTCTTAAGGATACTGGCTCTTTTTAAATTTTATTTTGCTACTATTAGCTTTTAGCTACAATGTGGCAACTTGTTGCTTTTGCTACCCTTTTCTTCTTTTAACTTTTAACAGTCTTTTGCTACTTGAAGCTTTTAGCTATTATTTTGTTACTTTTAGCTTCTAGCTAGTATTATACTTTTTTAGCTTTTAGCTAGTGTTTTACTACTTTAGCATTTTAAGTGTTTTGCTTCATATAGCTACTTTTAGCTTTGTATTCTTTAGCTACTTTTAGCTACTGTTTTGCTATTTGTTGTTGCTAGCCTTTTGCTTCTATTAACTTTTAACAGCCTTTTGCTACTCATAGTTTTTAGCTAGCATGTTGTTGTTGCTTTTAGCTAGTATTCTATGTTTTTAGCATTCAGCTCGTGTTTTACTACTTTTGTGTTTTAACAAACGTTTTCTTCATTTAGCTAGCATTTAGTTACTTTTAGCTTTGAGCTAGTGTTCTGCTTTTTTTGTTTTTAATTATAATTTTGCTTTCTTCTAGCCTTAAGCTAGAGATTTGCAAGTCATTTTCTTATTTTAGCTTTTAGCTAGTGTTCTGCTTTCTTTAGTTTTAACAATGTAAGTTTTACCGTTTTAACAAATGTCAGCAAAATCCTTCAGCACTCAGCATTCACACTTAAAGAGCAAAACCTCCAAAAGCATAAAGGGTAGGAATGTTTTTGGCTGTGTTTTTAGTGTTAACAAAATATCTTGTGAACCAGTGGGTAGTTGTTAATGAAACTTTCAGAAAGTAATCAGTAGATGTACATCTACAACTGATTAACGTTTGAAGTTATGCAAGATGGCCACCACAGCTAAGCAACTTAAGCAAACACAAAAATTATTTTAAGTCAGTTAGTTTTACATATATTGAGCTAAGACTTTGCATGGTAGTAGCTGAGAGTCATTTAAAACACACACTTTAGGGGCTGACACATCTTGCAACATGCACAAGAGATCTTGCAAGACGATACTGACAAGTTTTTGATCGTTGTTTTAAACTCTGGCATGGCGGGCAACATGCATTCCTTCAAGGCATGCTCTGCCTTTGATTTCTATGTTTCTGAAAAAAACAAATCAGTTATTTTTTGCAAGTTGTTTCTACGAAATAATTATTTTGGTTCTTGCTTTTACTCTTTTAATCTGCTCTATGGGATATTTTTATTTAACAGTCACCAAGAATCAAAAGAATAAAACACAAAAATCCTTCGGAGAAAATGACTTGCAACCACGGCTGCAGTTTTTTTCCATGAACTCAACAGCTGCTGCCTTTTAAGCTGTAAGAAGTGTTGCAAGAAAAATAAGAAAAAACAGAGTGATTGTGAATAAGAGCAATAACACGAGAGCAGCATGAATGTGTTTGATCTGTGAGGTTAACTGGCGAGTGTGTGTATGAATGTGCACATGTGCTCGGACATCAGCATGCGATTGTGAACATCAGCTCCAATTTGTCTCACTCTTTCAGCCTTGTTGTCTAATTGCCATGCCATCGGTGTGTCATTGAGGCTGCATTGTGTTCGTGTTTTGTTATCCTTATCTCAGTGATAATTGCCCCTGCCAAACAGAGGGGAATTAAGAAAAGAAATTACTAATGACAAGACATCTAAGAAAAGGCATGTTCTCTCATTTCCTTTGTGTTCTGTCCCCTCCCAAACCCGCGTGTGACTGTGGTAATTACAGTCGATGCATAACAAGCTAGTTAAATAGACCGTCTTTCAGTTTCCACAGTCGGGGAGCACAATGCGCCGGCGTGCTCAGTTCAAACAGAAAAACTACCCAGCTCCCTTTGTTATTCCACCCGAGCATTGACGGTCGCAGAGAGGAGGGAAGGAAAAAATCAATGCTGTCAAATGCGGAGATAGGAAAATGTCATTTTGACAAATGCAAGGCTTTGTGTACGCACAGATTGAATTTTGATGGATTTCTCCCCAGGCGAGGCCTCCTTTTCTTATTTATAGGACTTCATATAAAAATGTTAAACAATGATGTTACAGAAAGCAAATACAAATGTCATTGGCACAAAGCGTCCCCCAATGAACATATGGCTCTTTTTTGTGGGAAATATTGTTTGTTTGTTTTTTTTAAAGAGAGACAGCCATTTGAAGTAACTTACTTGGCTATTTATGGCAAAATGTTGCACAAAAATTATATTTTGATATGGCCTGTCATGGCTGTTTGCATGGGGGAATCAGTGCAAATTCATTTGCATTAGTTCAAACAGAAGTTTGAGCAAATTGCCAAGTGTTTCATCCTATTAATGCTTCTCATTCATACCTGCAGGCCGCAGCTGAGGATTAACAAAATGTCTTTGTCAGGAAGAAGCATGTTTTATCTTAACACACTGGGATGTTTTTGTACAAGCACTCAGTATTTATTTACAGCCTTTCAGCTGAAGTGCGACCTTGTTTTTGCTAAAAAAAAAAAAGGCGGATTTATTTATTTATTTTAGATTCATATTCCTATACTAACCAATTAAAGACCTAACATTCCATGAAGGAATGCATATTGCATATGTCTTTAGTGTTTTAAAATAAGTTTTTCCTTTTTTTTAAATGACGGACTTAAATATATTCTGAGATGTCATGCTCAGTGTGTTGTAATGACTTTCACTCATGACCACGTCGAATTTCAACATATCTGTTAAACTGCTTTGTAGCCATTTTAGTTTGTTTTAAGGTCAGTTAGCTGTGGCAGCCATGTTGAATTTGGTTGTAGATGTGCATTCACTGATTACTTTCTGCAAGTTTCTTTAAAATTCATCCAGTTTAGGAGATATTTTGATAAAAAGACGAGCACACAGACGCAAAACATTATCGCCCGGCTTTTCCATTTGGTGGCCGGCAATATTCATTTCATGATGAAGTTGTAAAACAATTCTAAAATCTGTTTAATGTCGATTTGCTGGCACTTCCAATATTTCATTTAGTAATAGTGTCTTATTTTATGTATGTCTCCTTCCCTCTGGTGTAATGACTGTATATGACATATTTGGTTTCAGCTTAAGCCCTTTCCCAGAGTTCCTAACTGCCTTGTTTGTCTTCTGTCTCCCACAGTCAACCTTTGGACCATGTTTCAAGCTGCTCAGAAACTCGGAGGATATGAGTTGGTAAGTATTCACATATGTGGCAGAAATATTCCCTCTCTTGTGTTAAGTTTCCCCCTCCCTCCATTCATCCATCTCCCCCCTCTCTCTGATATTTACCATCTTTTGTTCTGTTTTTGTTCTCTGTCCTCTGATGTTGTCTCCCTCCTTTTTATTGTTGTTGTTGTCTTTTTCTCTGCCCCCCCCCCCCCCCCCCCGCAATACATTTTTAAATTTTTTTTTTTTTATTTAGCCCCTTGAGGTCAGTCACTATTTTCCCAAGAAGAAAGTATTGCTCAGAGCTACTTTCAGCAGAAATGCTGCTGTTGTTTCAAAACCCCCTTGGTGTGGAAAACACATGTTCCTCTGTTCTACACGGAGCAGAAGGAAATTGGATAAATCGCTCATTCTTTCCCACGTCTGCGATGAAGTAAAATGCACATACATAGCCACGAGTGTGCGCTGGATGCAAGTACACACACACCAGAGAAGCAAGCCTGAAATAAGGGTGCGTGAGGCGTTTAACTTGGCAGCCTTACTTGCCGTTTATTCATTCACTATTCATCTGCGACATGTTTCCTAAGTGCAGTCGGTGTCTGATGTTAAGTCATCGAGTGAGTTGCTCATGCTCGCTTCTTCATTAACTAGCTGCACAACACCGTTCAAACAGACAGCCAGATAAGACCGTAAACAGGATACGGCTCATATAATTGGCGCTCATATCTTTTTAAAGCTGTCATATCTGCATTTTATTTATTTTTGTTTGTTTCACGTCGAGGCTTTGTTAGCTCAGTGGCAGATTGGGTTCTGGCGTTTTATGACAGAGCCTCGTCCGTTACTCCAATCTGTTAGGGGATAAGGGATTATAACAGGAACAACTGACTGCATGATGTTAACTTGAGCTTATTGTGTTTGAGAGTTGAGTGTAGTGTGTAATAACTGGAACATTATGACTCAGTAACTCCCTAAGACCTTGAAATGATGTCAGCCCTTTAAGTGTTTTCCCGTTGTTTCGCTCCAACTCATATAGTTGTTCATTTATTCACCTTCTGGTCTCATTTTCTTATATCGTCTTATCTTTTTGTCCTTCTGGACCCACTTTTGTTTTCTTCTTCTTTTCTTATCTGTGTCTTCTCATCCATTCCTCCAGATCACAGTCCGCAGGCAGTGGAAACATGTGTATGATGAATTGGGTGGCAACCCCAGCAGCACAAGTGCCGCCACCTGTACACGGAGACACTACGAGAGGTGAGTTATTTTGGCCCCGAGTTATAAATGACACGGTAATGCTATGCATGCAGTTAGCTTTGCTTTAAGGGAGTGAACTCCCTCACAGTTGCATTCAATGTGATTTCATAATGCTTTATTCAACACCACAAGACAAATATTGATTTTTGTTGAACGTCAATGCTCTTAAAAACACGAAGCTCTGTGCTTTAAATAAGTCTGCTGGCTGCTTTTATATGCAGTTTTTGACATTTAAAGGTACTCATTAAAAATTATGAAATCAAGGAGAGGTGGAAGAGTTTACTCCAGTAGTTTTCCAGGTATATTAACTGCAGTTCTGAAATGCGGGTCTACATTTAATGTAAACAAAACCACCAAATACCACATGGAAGCTTGAGCCGCATGACTGACCTATATTAGACCGGCTGTAGTCTGTGTAGGCAAACAAATATGGCTGAAATGATTAACGATTGACCTGTTTTCAGTCACTTTGGCTGTTTCCATAAGTAAACAAACCCATGTGGCAGTTGGCATTCAATTACAAATTTTGATTACAAGTTTCTAGTTTGTTCAATTTGTTACATTAACCACTGATATGAGAAAATTATTTAAAGATTTTGTTGCCTGATGATTTTTTTTTTTTTTAATTCGGTATGCTTGACTTTTAAAAAGTACCTTTACTCTCATTTAGTCATGGCTGTAACTCAAGAGGAGGTAGATGAGTAACCTTTAAAGTGATATCTCAGCTCTAGCTGTTGTAAAAAGGTCTTTAAAGGGGCTCAGTCTGAAGAACAAAAGGGTTATTAGTTCTGACCAGATTAACAAGCTGACTGCTAGCATGGGTCCAAGACCAAAATGTTTTCCTTCTCTCTTATTCCAGCTCCAATCTTGAATATTTTATGAAGTTTCATGTAAATGCTGTTGTAATTATTATTAATTATTATAAACATTTACATTTCAGTCAGTTTAGAATTATACAGTTGTTTACATAGAATTTTATGGTTCTTTACAAGCTCAAATAGCACCAGGAGCAACTTCAGTGCAGAATTATCATAAAATTTCTGCTGGAATCCCCGTGTAATACAAAAATATCTGTAGAATAGAGGTTGAAAAAGTAATATTTTTATGTACTGTTTTGAAATCTTTAGGACTGGAGTTGTTCTAAGAGAACAGCAGGTAACTTTAGTATTCAATGTAGCCATTAGCTCTTTGATATAATCAAATTTAAACTATTTATTTAAACTGAGGTCCTTCAAAGAGCTATCTACAACAGGTAAGACATTACTTGTTCATAACCTTCCCACAGAACCCCTATTCAGAAGGTGTTTACTATTGCTTTTACATCTGAAAGTTGCGGGTTTAATTCCCAATTTTCCCTGTTGACATCTTCAGTTATTGTTGTATTTAATTTCTAAACTCCAACCTGTCCACAAATGTTGCATGAAGTGAATCTGATAAATAAAAAGTCTGTTGAATTAATGTCATTTATTCAGATGTATACGTTTTAATTACATAAACACAATTTGCACCAAGATGCCGTTTAGTTAATTTTGTGAGACTAAAGGATTAGTTGTCTGATCCTTTAGAAAAAATATGCTTTAATTTCCTCCCATTCTGCTTCACAAACAAACCAGTGAAGATTAAAAAGCTCAAAATAACAGCAGTGTTTTGAATTATTTACTGACCTACATGGATAAACATAAACACAGCATTTGTGCTTTTCACTGAATGTGCGCTGCAAGCGCAGAAAGCTGTGAACTAAAAACGCTTTAATGTATTCATTTAATCATTCAGTCAGATACTGCAGCGTTCTGAACCTCGACATTATAATCACTCAGATGGTATTACCAAACCAAAGCAAGCATATGGATATGATCCTGAGGGAGCTGCATGGATATTATGCAGCACAACTTGCACACACTCGTACGCCCACACACAAACATACACGCAACTTTCCCAAGGTTAAACAAATGCCAAATACCATCTTTCCAGAAAGCGATAACCAGTCACTCGTCAAGCAGGTCATTCCTTGGGGCTGGCGACCCTCTCTACTTCCCTCTGGCTGTTGCAGGTTCATGCATCAGCACAGTGCAGGCACACACACACACCTGTCAGTAACACAGCAAAGATGCCAGCATTGCCATATGAGGGAGCGAGGCAGATTCAGATTGTGTCAAGATTGCATGCTGTAAGCGAATTCGCCAGCTCCGGCAGCAGCGATTGGAGTGGATTTTCCAAGAAATCTGCAAAATCGTAGCTTTGTGAAAATGTATTGTTTAGTGTCTGGTATTTTTAGACAGGCTGATAATAGTAAATGTTCTTTTTGCCTCGACCAGGACTTTATCAAAGTGGGGCCTGCATGTTGTTGACATAGCTAGAAATACAGTTAGGAAAAAGTTAAGATCATTGCAAAATTTGTGCTTTATTCTTGTTTTGTAGAGCCTATAAATCACTGTGAGAGCATGTTTTATGAACTATATTGTTCTTAGATTGTGAGGTGTAAGTAGAGGTGTAGAAATGGAGGCAAAGTCAGAGGAAATTCGCATGGGAAGTGCTGAGGTGTGACTGCTGCTGCGCTGGCCTTTCCCTCTCCAGCCACCGTGAAGAAGCGGGTGAGAGAAAATAATGCTGAATCAATACAAAGCAATAATATCCACTGCAGTGAATATCAGGCTGACATGGAGAAGGTGTATGGGGGGAGGGCTGGGGAGGTGAGTGAGGGAGAGATCGGTCGAATTTAAGCAAGTTTCCCCGTTTGTGCAAAATAATTTTAGCTGAGCCTCAGTGTTTGGGCTGCTCCGAGGGCAATTAGCGGCAATGTATTAACTCAGCAAACACGGCCATTCTCCCTGCATGATGAATGAGGCTGTTTGTAGGCTCGCTGAAGTGTGTGTTTGTTCCCCAGAGGCGTCTTTGTTTCCACCTTTAATCATTAGTCAATGCGCTGCAGAAAAATATTTCACAAACAAAAAAAAAAAAAAAAAAAAGAAAGACAATATACAAACTGGAACAGCTCCTGTGTTTCAGGGCTCACTTTGAAGGATATTGTCTAACTTGATTCAGTGGCGCAAAGTTAAACTGAAAGCTGAAACACTCTGCAGCTAAAGGAAGCAATAAATCGAGACATAATTCCTTTCAATTAGGTGGATATTCTTGGGCGTCTTTGTGTTATTTGGGTTAAAGACTGTGGATATCCACAAGCATTCAGCTCTCTTTTTAAATTATACACATTATCCCTTTACAGCCCTAATGGTAAAATCACATAAAATGGTTTCCTAGGAGATGTTATTGTGAAAGATGGAGCCAAGGGCATAATCACTATATTTATGCTGTCCAGGAGCAGGCAGCAATCACCAGCAGAAATTGAGTTGCATTACTGGAATTGAGCAGGAGATAAGCGTGGTTGTCATCTTCAAAGTTACTGTTGTTTAGTTACAGAGAGTCGTTCATTAGTACACGTTGGGGGGGGGGGGGG